CTTGTGGCTTTTTGTCTTTATAAGCCCCTGACTCTTTCTCTTCCCTTGAACACTCTTGGTTTAACCAGAATCTGTGTCTCCTGAATTGCAATTCTTAAGAGCCCAAATAAACTATTTTATTATTTGCAGCCTTCTGCACTGTTTTTCTGTTGACAAATTCATATTTTCCTCTGTTTTGGGCTAAGACATTTCACTCTGGATTACTTGCCTTCTTTAACTCCTGTTTGTTTTGTCATTTCTTCTGGCTGTGACTGGATTATATGACAATTAGTAAATAACCTGTGATTTGTAAAAAGGTACATATTAGGCTGAGGAAACTGTTTTGTCTTAATTTGCATCTCATTTTTTAATCTCTATTATGCTAATAGGAAAATGCATCAGTGTGTTTTTATCAGATTTCTTCTTAAATTCTAGATCATTTTGAAAATGGATGTGTAAGTGTTCCTCTAAAACACCTCACTAGTTATTATATGATATGTGATCTGTTTTCCTAAAGATTAAAATCTTTCTTCTTATTCAGAATAGCGATGTTATGTGCAATGCAATTATGTATACTAGATTCATACCAAATTCATAAGAAAAAGTGTGGTTACCAGAGGTAAAATAATAACTACAACATAAACATAATGCCAGGTATACAGAAAAATTTATCAATGACTATAATTATTTTCTTTTATAGAATAAATACCAAATATACATTTATTTGACTGAAAATGTCACATTGCTTTTGTGAAATAAATTTACAAAGTGTTAAACATTTGATTAAAATGAATGATGATTCTTTAGCTATAGCATGTGGGGGGCAATCCCACACCTTTTAAGGTCATAACATTAATGTAATATAACAGCTTTTTTCCCCCTCTACTTCTATAAGTGGAGAATGCTGCTGCCGGAAAGCTGTCTGGAAGTTCAGCCAAAGAAAGAAGAAGGTTGCAAAAATTTTGGGAACTTTAAAGAAAAGTGGCTGGCATTAGCTTGGTCCTCACTTTAAACTAAAATTAAAACAATAGACAGACATGTACAGTAATCTCTTTTTTAAGGAAAGAATAGAATGCCTCTATAGTAATGTCAAGTGGAACAATTTGGTCCTGGCCCAAGCTATGCAGCTGTTCCACAGGAAAACGGCAAAAGGCTTCAATCCAAAGCAGGCAAATAAGGCATGATTGTTTATAAACAGTCACTGTGGCCCTCACATTTAGAACAAGAAAAACAATATTAGCATATAGGAGGCCAGGTTAGGAACATGAATCTCAGTATGAGTTGAGTCACACCATCATTTTGTGATTTATACAAAAGATAGTGGTGCTATTTTTTCTACTATTAACTTGCCTAATAACCGTGGATAACTCATACTTTAGGAAATCATATATTGGTCAAATATTTTTAAAAAAACAATATTTGATCACGGATTAAGGAAATGATATGTCAGCTACAAAATGTAAAGAAATCATATACCTGTTATCCACTTCTGTTTCTCACCTGCTCATCAAAGGGGGCTTGGGTAGTTGGTAAGGATAATAGAAATCGGGTGTTTCAGGAGTAAATTAGAAGCTAAGACAGTATTGCTTCTCCGTGATTCCAAAATAACAAAATGGGGAATCAGGTGTAATAGCAGCAAAATAATGGAGAACTTTGACGGTGATTACCAGAGTAAAATAGGAAATTCGAACCTACCTGTTGGGTAAATGTGATATCACATACTTCATTTTTACTCTCACTCTTTACAGGCTTTTTTGATCCTATCTTAAAATATGGACAGCCTCTCTACTATTTTTTGTTTTAAAACTTCTGTTTGACATAACTTTCTTTTCTCATTCCTTTTCCACTTTTCATGATTCATTTTCTGAAATGGGTGTCCTTCCTGTTTTCTTTACTTCCCCACCACTTACTAACTCCCTGATTAATCCATTTCAATTTGTGTTCTGTTCTCTTTGCTCTAGTGAGACTTGTTTTCTTTATGATCAGTAAAATTTCCTTCTGGGAAAATCCAATGATTTCTTTTCAGTCTTCCCTTGTTTTATTTGTGCTATCTGCCTCAACTGGCACTGTTGGAGATCAAATATAAACTAGAGAGGCTAGAACTGAGACTGTCTTTAAAGAGGTTAATGTCTTCATTTATTGGAAATGATAGTTACTTTGAAAATGCAGAAGAGTGGATTTTAAGATAATTAGGAAGGGCATAAGAGAAGCAGTGGTCTAAAGGCAAAAATGAGTCAAAGAAGTTGGCTATACCTTTAATGTCAATGGCCTGGAGGTCTACAAGGAAAGAAAATGGTAAAAAGAGAGTTGGGAATGAGAATACAAGAGAATAAGTTAATGTACATTTACTTGTGGACCATAGCACATAGAGTATAACATTATGATCTATAATGATAAAGATAGAAAATAATAATTTTAACCCTTCTGGAGCTTATGAGTGAATTGCCAGAGGATACTATACTAATTAGAGGATATTCTATATGGCTGTAAACTCATGCTAAAAATGGTCAGCTTTGTAGGAATTTGGCAAGTTGCCAGAAAGGGCACAAATACAGCAGAAAGCCTGATAGAAGAGAATAGCAGCAGTAAAATGTGTCTTGAGGCTAGCCAGTTCTTCACCTTCAAGCATCCAGAGCTTCGATTTCAGTGCTGCACGTTATTGTAGGGCCCATCCTAATTTTTCAAAAGTGACTTTGGCCAACATAGGTGACAATTTAGACTCAGCAATTGAAGTAGCAGAAAATAGCTGAAGGAATGTAATCTTTGGGCAATGATTGAACTAAGTTTACATCCTGACTCATCCATTTTAAATCTGGATGAATAAGGAAAGTCGGTTAATACTGAACTTTAGTTTTCCTTTCTGTAAAACAAGAAGCCTTTTTATTTCCATTACCTATAGCAAAGTGATACTAATCAGGATCCTTCTGAGAAAGGTGACGTTTTCTATTTCTTAAACTTCTGGAACCTTTGTATTCTTAAATAACATAAATAAATAAGAGATTGTGTTTTTCATTCATCGGCAGTGCAGAGGATTATTGCATATCCAAGCTTATTTCTAGGTAACTGAAACAGAGACCACAATAAGGCATATCTATTCAACCATATCTGAGCTGAGGGAAATGGACTACTTAAATAGCTAATTACATAGATCACAATCTAAGTACTCACCAACAAATAAAAATGTGGATAGTGAGAGTGGATATGGAATCAAAGAGAAGATCTTTGATAGGTAATTAGATGCTATTTGAGCCGGAATGTATTTATTCCCAAGCATTCTATATATTATATTTCCCATCTTCACCTCATTTAAATGTGTAAATTGTACACATATGTACTTTGGGGCAGAACTATGGAGAGAAGGTAAAAGCAAAAATCCTTTGCTATTCCCTGATACTTTATCATATCTCCAAACACTGACCTCTGAGGTTATAAGGAGAAATGGAAGAAAAGGGGGGGGGGGGGGGGTAGGGGGATGGGGAAAGAGGAACAGACAGAGTTGGAAAATAATAAGCAAAGGGAACAGGAGTGGAAATGGAAGGGAAAGTTAGGAAAGAAGCGCTGGTATTAGATATACAACATCGGGAGGAAAGAAACTGGATTTAAGTATGTCTAAAGCTGACTAGAGTCTGTTACACTTCTTTCTTAGTTAAAGTACTGATCTTACAGCCAAAAGCTCTGTTGAAACTGTAGTACTGAAATGCACTGTCACATTTTGATAGCGCACTGCAGTTGAAAAATGTTTTCTATAAGCAACTTAAACTTATCAGAGGGTAAGAACTATAAAAGTGAATTGTACAGGATATATGTAGTAAAGCTACTTTGAAAAAATTTGCTCCTTTCAAGGTCTAAAATGCCTTAAATGTTTCTTAAAAGATAGAAAAAAATAGATTAATTTACAAAATGCTCTTTAAGTCAGTATATTTTAAATCTCTAGAAAATAATTACTGGAAGAGAGAACAGTTCTAAAATAACAATACGGTGATAAAGAAAGTATGAATTCACTTAGTGTGTTAAAAAGTATAAGACAATACAGTTAAGGAAGTTGAAATTTCAGGCTTCTGTATTAAAATTACTATAGAAAAATTCCTCATGTGATAATATGAAATCTACACTTAAATAACAAATGTTATTAGAAACAATTTTTTAGTAATTAAATTTGATTTGCTCAAAAGCTATCCCATATAGTTATGTATAGAGAACAATTAAATGCCTCCCATTAAAATTTAAACAGAAATGCAAATCAATTGGAAGCTTCTAAAAAGATCAAATAAGTGACTTTCAGTTCCATGTAGAATGCTACTATAGAAAGATCAAATCACTTCCAATGAAATAATCCTTATTTGGATACTCCATACTTGAATTTTCTATTAAATATAGATTTTCTATGAGTTAGCTGTTTATAAACATGAATGTCAAAAAGTAAAATTTTAGGGTTGAAGTGATGTTAGAACTCATTATTCTAACAATGAAATCGCTTTATAATAGAAAATGTGGAGTCTGTGACCCTTTTCATTCACACTACCTCCAAACATATCACATTCACAAATTATGTCTCAGGGGCTACACTAGAGGTGTAGATTTGATCCTTCTTAGGAAAATGATTTTGCATGTAACTTTAAAACTTGGGCATATTTTGAGGATTCAATATTTTCAAAGTTTTTCATGAGAGAAGTTCAGCATGTGTAACTTCTACAATCTGATGATGTAAAAACAGTGACTGATTAAGCCTATACTCCTTTCAGGTTGAAATATCTTAGTAGGAAAAAAAAAAAAGAAAGAAAGAAAGAAAAAGAACAAAAAAATCACAGTTGGAAACCTCCCCAGAAACTTCACTAGATGACAAAATACAAGACCAATCTTCCACAAACACTTAATGAAGACATGGTTCAGGGGGTTTTCTGTTCTGAGATCACTTTGCCCACCAAGAAAATACAAAAATAGTGCATTTCTGCAGTTAAAGACTGCAATCAAAGCAGGATACAAGAAAAGTAAAAAATTGTATTGCTCATTAAATCACTTACAGTGGTTTTCCTTTGGATTCACAAGTCAAAATTAAAGGCTGTCCTTCTTGTGGAAAAGGAGTGGATGGTATAATCTTAACTGATGGTGTATCTAGGAGAAAAGAAAAAGTAATATTAAAAAAGGTCATTACACACATATAAAACTATATATATGTTCAGGCCATTTCTTGTAATTGTATATATTTATACAATTGTGTATATTTATATAGATTTAGTGAAACAGGGTCTGCAATTTTAAGAAGCTACCATCCTGTCCAGGAAAAGCTTACAAAAATATCTGAATATCTTATGAGCTCCACTGTGGTATTATTTCTGAAATCTGAATTTAAAAGTGAAATTGCAAAAAGTGGTTCAGATGAATATCAAGCATTTCATACAATTGTTTCTTCAACTATTTATAGATGGCTATGCATACTATTATTATGGACTGAATACGTTTATGTGCATTTGAATAACAACACTTTCATTGTTGCAGGAATACCAGGCACTCACAATAAGGAACCCACAAAGAACTTGAGATCAACTACTGTCTCACAAGCATTATGCAGAATCTTTTTGAAAATGCAGTAATGCTGCACTTAGCACATGCTGTTTGCTTTAAAGCACAGTTAGCAAATCATCTGAAATAGTTATTTAGAATGTTATTAAAAGTTAACATTTTGTTATATATGCTACAACATAATTGTTATGAAGTTATTTCCATTTAACAATAAAATCATCCTTTGTGGAAGAAGATGCAAAAATACTTTGAGACATTTATATTTCTAATTTTATGCCATGTGATATTGTTTAATCAACACAGAGATACATATTACATAGAAAAACTGGAAAATAAACTAAAAACAGAGACAGTGTAAACAGGCTCATTCCTTTATGACACCTTGCTAGTGCTGGTTTTGTGTGGCTCGCAGTCAACATGGAACTGTCTCCTCCTCTTGTTTCCATATCCTCAACAATAAACAAAATAGGCTCTGAATGCTCCAGGGGGTCACAATTATTCTCACCCTTCCCTTAGTTGTGATAGAAGAACTGAACTACCCTGAGGTTATAGTCATTCCCTGACTTTGAAGCCAATTAAATAAGTATCAATCAATGGTGTAATTTTTAGTTTAGTTATCTTATTTCAGGGAAATATTATGCAGATTTGTCATATATAGAACAATAAACAAGATCCTGTGGAAGGCCTTGTATCCCACTTATAAATTATTTATACTTTTTCAAATGCATTCTTTCTCAATCCTTTAAAGACAAAAATACATTCAAGATAATCAACAATAATATCCCATTTACAAATAGTCATTCCATGTACATCATGGTAAAAAATTGTAGTATAAAATAACCCAGGAAGAAAAATTAATTTGAAGAAATATGACATATATTGTCATATTTTTAACCAGTAGAAAAAAATAATTTAATAAAGGATTGAAATATACTTCACTAATTTCATTACCATCATCACATTTATGGAATCAGTTAGCATGATGATCATATAATTTTGTCTTCCAAGTAGAACACTTTTAAAAGTGAAGAGAAAATATTAATTATATAGAATAACAAGTGTGAACCAGAATGATTCTGGGAAAATGAGGGCTATCATCTTTTAAATTTTGACGATATATACATATAGCAAAATTTAATTTCATCCTGACATAGAAAATAAAGCTTCAATTCTAGAGAAAAATGTGGCAGAAGAAAAATCAGAAAAGTGTGATGTTGGGGAAGAGAGTTGTGTTGTTTATCTGTGATGATTAATTTTACGAGTCAACTTGACTACACTATGCGGTACCTAGATATTTGGTCCAAAATTCATTATTTGGGGAATTCTAGTAAGAGTATTTTGGGAAACGATTAACATTTAAATCAGTGGACTGAGTAAAGCAGATTCCTCTCCCTAATATGGGTGAGGCTTATCTGATAAGTTGAAGGCCTGAATAGAACAAAAAGCCTGACCCTCACACAAATAGGAGAGTATTCCTGTCTGATGGCAACTAGAGCTGGCACATCAGCCTTTTTGCTGTCTTCAGATCAAACTGAAACATCTGGGTCTTGAGCCTGCTGACTTTCAGACTGGAACTATAACATCACCTCTTCTGGTTTCTCAGGCCTTTAGACTCAGACTGGAACTAAGTCATCAGCTCTTCTGGGTCTCTAGCTTGCAGACTCAGCCTGCAGATCTTGGAATCTGCACCTTTGTAACAAATCCCATTAGTTCTTTTTCTCTATAGAACCCTGACAAATATAGAATCCTTACAAACAGACCCTGGGATATTTCTTTTATGGGGAGTGACCACAGGGAGCACTGGGAAGTGAGATAGGAAGGGAAGGAAGTCAATCAAGCGTGTGTTATTGAGCAGATTACCCTGTGGGCAGCTGCATGCAATCCTGCTGTGGAACTCAGACAATGTAGGGCTTGCCTCTGAGTCACCTCGCTTGATGGGCAAGGGAGAGGAGTATTTAGGGAATACTGACCAATACTCATTGGTGTTCGGTTGAGGATTGCTGGGGTGGGGATGCAGGTGTTATTTCCCTGGCACCCCTGGTCTACTCGGTGCACAGAAATGGTGTGTGCCAAAGGGATATGGACAAGTCACCCCCAGTATCTGCCTCAGTGAAGTAAAATACACAGTTCTGCCTGTTCAAGTAATTTATTAGAGGTGAGAATTTATATAACATATGGTCCCCTGAAGCATGGTTCAGCATTCCCTTTAGATCCAGAACACAGAATTTGAATTATAAGCAACTGCAAAAGCAGATAATATGCTTAGCATGTATTTCTGTGAAACTTTTAGGAAGACCTCTAGGTTACCAAAATCAAGTCATATAATACAATACTGTTATTTTATTTCTGAATTACTCAATATGTTGATTAGTCTTTGTTCCTAAGAATTATCTTCCCTAGGTTTTTTTTTTTAACACTCAACCCTCCCACCCCTCACAAACACACACACACACACACACACACACTGATAGATACACATATCTGATTTGACATATATCTCTGGATACTCTTTCTCATATTCTGTTGGGTTGTCTTCTTGTATTTAACCTTTAAATATTGAGGTCACCAAGAATGGGATTCACAATCTGTTCTCACATAATTCTCTAGGTCCTTTTAGCCACACCCATCTCTGCAGTTTCTATCTACTCATTAACCACTCCCAGGTTTATATCCTAGAGCAGTTCTGTACCACAAGCTACACTCATGTATATGCAACGCCTATTTGACATGTCCAGTTGGATGTTGAAAAGACATGGCACACTCAGTATGTCCAAAAGGAACTCAAAGTCTCCCACTGACTGACACATTCTCCCCTGATATGTTCTTCTTCCAGCAATTTCTAGTTCTATAAATACCACCAGCCTCCAACCAGCTACATACACCAGACACCTCCTGTTCCCTTACCTTTTCTATAATCAATCAATTAATCATCAAGTTTGGTTGACTTATTTCCTAAAGAATTTTGAAATCTACTCGTTGCTTTTTTATATCTCCACAACCTTTCTTTCATTTAGTCTACCGCAAAAGTGAATGGCCTCCACCATGTCAGCTTTTTACACCTCTAAATCTGATGACATCAATTTTCTGGTTAAAACCTTGCATGGTAAATCTTTTCTCTTAGGATTAAAAGAAAAATAATCAGCATAGTCTTTAAGTTCTATATGATCTACACAGGTCTTTACTCTCATGCCTTGTAACACTCAATTCATTCTTTGAATTCCAGGTAATTATACTTTCTTTCGGGTACTTTAATGAATATGTTTTTTAACTTTATACAAACTGTCTGAAATGCTCCATTTTGGGGGGATCCTTTGCCTTTTTAACTCTTTTAAATCTTAACTCAAATATTTGCTGAGGGCAATCATTCATTACCCTCACATTTGGTCATATATCTCTGCTGCATGTCCTATTTTTCATCTCTGTATAACTTTTAAAAGGCATTTCTGTATCCTCTGTGTCTAGCAAAGTGCTTTATACAAAATCTGTGCTTAATAAATAAATTCTTAAATGGGGGAACACTCTAATTTTTTTATTTTCTTATTATCATTTTAATACATTAATTTTAAAATATTAAAAACTGCTTAATTGAAATTTTGTTGGGGTCTGCATTTGTATGTAAAATTAATATTAAATGCTCATGTCACAAACCTTACATTGAGTTTTATTCTTACACATATTTAATTTAATTAAATGTCTACTGCTGATTCTCTTCCTGGTATAAGTTTTCTGCATTAGGTAATATTAGATAACAACTTTCCATGATTATACAAATGGCAATTTTTTTTTTTTTTTTTTTCTTTTTGTGGTACGCGGGCCTCTCACTGTTGTGGCCTCTCCCGTTGCGGAGCACAGGCTCCGGACGCGCAGGCTCAGTGGCCATGGCTCACGGGCCCAGCCGCTCCGCGGCATGTGGGATCTTCCCGGACCGGGGCACGAACCCATGTCCCCTGCATCGGCAGGTGGACTCTCAACCACTGTGCCACCATGGAAGCCCGGCAATTTGTTTTTTAATGCATATACCGCATAAATAACTTTTCTCTCCTCATCTGATTTTGACAGGGGAAGCACTCAATTGTGAAGAGATTATTTATATAATCAGTCAAAATTCTAGTTTACAGTTCCATGAAATGTCAGCATTCGTCTTTAAACATACCACGTTAGCAAGGTACACAAAATTACATTTTTTTTTTACATCAAAACAACAGTAATGTGATATTATCCCAAACTTGACTCTTTCTCATATACTTTAAAATTTTTTATTTTATTGGAGTATAGTTGATTTACAACGTTGTGTTAGTTTCAGGTGTACAGCAAAGTGATTCATTTATACATATATTCATTCTTTTTTAGATTCTTTTCTCATATAGCTTATCACAGAATATTAAGTAGAGTTGCCGGTGCTATACAGTAAGTAGATCCTTGTTGCTTATCTATCTCATATATAGTAGTATCTGTGTGTTCATCCCAAGCTTTTGATTTATCTCTCCCTGCCACAGTGTTTACTTGAAAATAACATTTTGAATATGTAACATTTTACATGGCCTAAAAGTCAAAATATTTTATTTTATTTTTTAAATTAATTTTTATTGGAG